GCGCGCTTCACACTCGGCTCAGCTGGCTAAGGTACTATGTATATATACATTTATATATATATATATATACATTCAGTAGAATCCGGTTATAACGACACTCAAGGGACCGTTGTTATACCCGGAAGGCGCTATGACCGTATATGTTTGCTCATACAAGTTTATCCGTCAATAGGGAATTGGTTATTAAATACTAACTATTTAGATGCAGCTTTACCGTAGATATATGCGCTATATCTTTTTGATCCTGAGTTGTCAACGAGTATACAACATATTCGAAATTTTAGAACTCTAGTAAGTCTGTAGATGGACGGATAGGTGGAAAAGAACAGTAATATTGGGTCAATAAACCAATATATACAATAAATGAATCGAAATGAATTGATTGTAAAATGAAGTTGATTGTGTTTTGAATAAGCTCTATATAGCATAAACCACTTGGAGTTCAGCTAGTCAGAATTCAAGATGTTTATTTATATTTCTAAGGAATGTATTCTTTCAAAATCAAATTTAATCTGGGACAGCTTTTCGGACATTTATGATTTATTTACATTAAATTTTCTTAAGCTCTCATTCTATTTCCTAAAGTTTCACTTTTTAAATTTACGATTCATTTACATTAAATTTTCTTAAGCTCCCATTCTATTTCCTAAAGTTTCACTTTTTACTAATCTGTTTTACCTCTTCTATTGCCCTTATCAATGAATAACTTTTCGCAACTAAGTCACAATCTCCATTTATCATTGATACATGTATGTATGTATGTTTTGTATGCCTCCAAGTTGGCGAAGAATGCAATTGCATTTGAAAGAGACACACACAGAAGTTATTCAATCAACCAGAGCCAAGCCTGGGCCCAAGCCATATTTACCTCCTGCTGTGGCTCACTGTGGACTCGCCCTTAGCTCGCTGCTGTTTGGCTTTTACCTTTTCCCCATTTCTGAAAGTGTGCATAAATGGGGTATATTCATTCTGTTGAAATTGACGGAAAGTTGAAGTAGATGGGGTAACTGGGAATATATAATATCCATATAGGTTTGGGATCAGAAGCAACAGCTGAGTTGATCTAGAGCTGAAAATTTCAATGAAGCAAGGCATATATCTAGTTTATTTCGAAATAATCAATCTATTTTTTCTGGAAATGGATAAATACAATATTGATATCAAATTTTAGTTATATATTCGACATATGATTCTACATTTGACTCATACTTAAGCATTTCGAAACATATAGTACGTGAAACATAGAGCACTTCAAATCCTGTTCAGCTCGTGTCCGATAAGAACAGAAATATGAATAACCTTAAGCTACAAAGTATTCACCAGCTCTCTGTATGGGTATTCGCTAGTCGTGTATACCCGATTTAGAGCAGCTTTGTTTCCCTCCCCCATTGTTGTTGCTGCAAGTTGCGCAACTTAAGCTGCCTTTTGCCTCGTAAATTGTTTATTATAATAAAGTTTTGTGGGGATTTTGCCTTTTGCGAATTAGAAATCGGGAGCCGTAGCTTGGGTCCAGCCTTTGTTTTGCCCCAACGCCCATTTGGGGTCGAAATGCAATTATTTCAAATGGAATTGCAACTGTTTCAATTTCAATAGAGTTTTTAGCAGAATTGCATCCAATTTATTGCAAATTTCGTTTTCATACTGTTTCCATTTCTTTGTGGAAAGGGCTTCGATTCGCAATTGACTCTTTGTGGATATTCAAATTGGATTTCCTTTTAAAATAAACAAAAGATGAAGTTCGAATTTGTCGCTAAAGAAGTGTTTTCCTCGCATTTCGGGGGAGAAAGTGTTTTTAGGATGAGCTTTTCCTGCTGCCTATCTTCAGGTTTCCTTGATATCACAATGGTTTCGGTAGGGAAATGAACTCCTTTTGAAGTATACTATAAGAGAGAGAGAGAGAGAGAGAGAGAGAGAGAGAGAGGGAGAGGGAGAGGGAGAGGGAGAGAGGGAGACGGAGAGAGAGAGAGGGAGAGAACGAGAGGGAGAGAGAGTATTAGAGAGAGAGAGAGGGGGAGAGAGAGAATGAGAGAAGGAGAGAGTAGAGCGGAGAGTAGAGAGAGTGAGAAAA